GGTGGCCGGGAGCCGCCATTGCATTTCAGTCTGGGTGATAGAGTGAGTCCAACTCAAAAAAAAAAAAGGAAGAAGCGACCCCATTTCTTGACCAAAGTCCTGAAAGTACCAGCAAACCTAGTTTTCCTAAAACGTGCCGTGTCCCCTCGGCCACGCAGCGACAATGACAAATTCATGCCCACAGTCCGCAAAACGACCACCCGGCAAAAACAACACCCGCTTCAACCATTCGACCAGAAGCGAAGCACCTCCTGGGCCACCCCCAACCGCCTAGGAAAGGGTGACTTCCGGAGGCGCCAAACGGAGGGCGACAGGAAGAGGAAGACAAAGTTTTAGCTGGTTAAAACAGTGCCGCTTGAACTGTTCTGCCTGCCAAGATTTTGACTAGATAAACGAGGCATAATCTCCAGTCTCCAAATTCCAAGGTCCATACAAGCGTCTACAGCGTCTCTTGAGGCAATCATAAAGTCCTATCCGGTAATTTTTTTCCCCCCAGGCATTTATGATGGCCACCTCATCCTTCAATCGCTCAAGCGCGCGCATAGAAGTAAACGCCACGGGGGGGAAGGGCGGTGCTTAAGCGTGTACGCATGCGTAATCCAACTCACGCAGGCGCAGTACGGTTCCCCCGGAGACGGCGGCGGCGGCTCTTCGGGGTGTTCGGCTCCCTCCATCTAGGCCGGCCCCGACCCGTCTCGCCCCCAGGAGGCCACGTTTGGGGACGCGGACTTTCTCGTCGTGCCCCACAAAAGTAAAGTTTGGGGACCTGGGGAAGCCGGAAGTACCGCCTTGAGATACCCAAATACTATCGGAGAAACGGAAGTGGCCGTCGGTGGCAATTTAGGGGAGACCGGAAGTGACGGTACCGTGGGGAAGTCGGAGGCGGAGCTGGGGATATTGAGGTGTGTGTATGTGTGTTTGTTTGACTGTGTGTTAGTAGCGTTGGTCTGGTGGAACACCGTGGGAAGGCAGAAGAGGGGGGTAGTCAGCTAGCCTGTCCGGCCCCCCCGTGAGTGTTTGCCATTTCGGATCTGTAATAATTTAGGCGGGTTCGATGGGCGTGGCGCGCGTGCGCGAAACCACTTTCTTCGCTGAGTCTGGCGCGACCCCCGCTGTCGCGTTGTCCTAGGATTTGCCGATTTCTGGAGCTCTTGTTCTGTTGTGGTCGGTGATGACACTTGTCTCTGGTCTAGTGCTTCCTTCTTTCCCTGCTTCCTAACCCGACTGGCTCTCCCTTATTGTGATTGGCATCGTGGGGCCCCTCCCACCTCTAGTTCTCCTGATCCTGTGCCGTCGATCTCCTACCCTTTGTGTTTCTCCCCCTGTGCCCCGGAATCAGAAGGGGGATAGGGGAGGATGTGAGTGTGTGTGTTTGTGCAGGATAAACTTTTTAGATATTGAGGTGGGCATTTATAAATAAATGCCTAGGATACTTCCGCGTATATAAAGTCTGCTCTGGGCGACAGCGGGCCTCCTTACCTTCGTCCTTCCTTAGAGACCTGTCGGCCATGGAGCCCAAAAATAGTACCAGTACCGCCATGGAGGAGCCTGACAGCCTCGAAGTGCTGGTGAAGACCCTGGACTCTCAAACTCGGACCTTTATTGTGGGGGCCCAGGTGAGACAACAGTACTTCTGGAAGATGTTTATTAGTTCGTTCTCCTGTAGGCCCCGTAGGCTTGAGTAGGCTTGAGGAATGAGCCTTATTTTCTGGTCATTAAATTTTCTCTTCATTGATCCCTTTGTTTATATGCTAATAGAACATTTTCTGATGTTCTTTGTTGAGTGAGGCTGATTTTGCTCTTCCTTCTAACACCTTGATAGAACTCAATGCAGAGGGAGATACAGAAGAAGAAAGAATCTGTATGTCATCATCATTGATGGTCCCCAACCCAAAAGGATAGACGGGGCTCCTGCCTTTGGGAAGGGAAACAACAAGGGACCCCAAACAAGTGTGCTTATAGTGTGTCAAGTCTATACTGCGTTCTTTTAATTTTTCTTTCTTTTTTTTTTTGAATCAAGTCTAACGCCCAGGCTGGAGTGCAGTGGCATGCTCACGGCCACTGCATCCTTTACCTGCTGGGCTCAGGTGATCCTTCTACCTCAGCCTTCCAAGGAACTGGAACTATGGGCATGTGCCACCACGCTTGGCCAATTTTTTTGATTTATTGTAGAAACAAGGTCTTGTCAAGTTCCCCACACTGGTCTTGAACCCACAGACTCAGGCAGTCCTCTTGCCTCTGCCTCTTCAAGTGCTCGGATTACAGATGTGAGCCACCGTGCTGGGCTATACTGTATTTTTATTTTTTATTTTTATTTTTTTTGAGTAGAGTCTCACTCTGTCACCCAGACTGGAGTGCAGTGGCCGGTCCCGGCCACCGCAGCCTCGACCTGCTGAGC